ACTTTTGTCGACAAAATCCTGTAGTCTAGACACACCCTGAATGTCCCTACATAACTGATTGTTAAAAGCCCAGACAACAGACGGGATCTCTCACTAGATAAATTATCCTTTTCTGTTCACTCTCTCTGAAGCATCTGGCACCAGCCACTGTCAGAAGACAGGATGCCGGGCTAGATGAACCTTTGGTCTGACCCAGTCTGACCATTCCTATGTGTTCTTATTTTACAAAGACTTGACCTCACAATTCAATAAAAGTATTACTGTACTATCCCCATTTTATAGACAGGAAAACTTTGGCACAGAATATGAAGTGAACGTGGAGAGCCTTCCTGTTTTCAAGTATAATTCACTACGGCAGAGTTTGTACCTGGATTCCATATATTTCTTGTCAAATCACCTCACTACAGGCATAAATTCAGGTAGCTGAGATATTCTGATCTTTCCCCTCAGTTTGAGAGTAAAGACTGGGTTCACAAAAGGGAGAGTGGGCTCCATCCCTTTTAAAAACTAACCCATGAGAGAGCTTGAGGAATTCACTTACCAGATCTTCTACTGGGGCTTTTTCACAGAAACAGGGAATCATGGCTTACATTCAAATAACTTTAGCCTAGTACGTGCTTGTAAAGATGACGTTTTAAAATGTAACCCATTTTAACAGAGTTCAAATTTCCTTTACTACAGTAATTCTATTTTAATTGTTTACAAATGCCTTTTCTACACTACACTAAGTATTTTGAGAATTTGAACAGAAAATCCTATCCCAAGGTATTTTAAAGTATTCAGTTCCAAAATAAAGGTTCAGAACAGCTCTCCTTTAACATGTCCAGAACTGCTTTTTTCCAGTAGCTTTAACATTAACAATTTGCAAAGCAAATGGGTTCCTGAGATTTGTGTCCTGATGTGCAGCGATGAGAAAGACGCTATTATCTCAGAGCAGGAGGTACAATAAAGTGATGTCACTGGAGCACTTCCTGGTGTTTGAAATGTGCTCAGTATGTGGGTGAATAAAGAGAGGGTCCTGTATGCATGTACACATGTTGCCAAGGTGAAGTACAATGTACTTGCCATGAAAATGGTCCATCACAACATCCCATCTCAGCCCTGGTAGCTGGAGTGCAAGCGGGTTTTAAAACTATCTTTGGGCTAGAGCTGACAAAAACCAAGCCTAGCCTTCCGTCTTCTAACATTGATGGCTTGTTTCACCAGACTCTGAACACGGGGGAAGGGCGGGTAAAGAAAAGGAGAAAACGTTATTTTTGTAATAAATTATTCTAACAATGAACATGGTAGTTTAGAATGTTGTGGATTCTAGGCAGATATATTAGTCCAGTGATCAAAGTGTAGTCGAGAAAGGGTTAACAGTGCAAAGTAAACATTTCGATAATCGTTGGCAGTTTCTTCCATGGACACAGAAAAAGGGTTATAACAGGTTTCTGCATATTAATTGATCTCTGTATTTATAACAGATAAATCTGTTTATGATTGCACTATTGGTTTAACAATTTTTCAGCAAGGTAAGATTTACAGTACAACCAAAATGTTCATGGGTATTTTATGAGATGGGAAATAGAAATGATAAAATGTAGCTTAGTAGAACAGAGAGATGGGACTAATTTCTTGGAAGAGAGACTTAGGTGCACATGAGCCATATTTCATTTATAAATACATCTCAGAAATACATTTCACAAGGCTCCACTTGCACCATTTAACTTGATCCAACATCACCCTCTCTGATGGATCCTAGGCTACATACATATCCACACCACTGTATTTGTGCTGCACTCACATTGCAAAATAAGTACCCAGAATTAGACGTGAATTAGTGTTGTCTATTAATCATGGTGAGATTAACTCAAAAATTAATCATAATTAAGTGCAGTTTTGATCACACTGTTGAGCAACAGAATACCA